GGGATACGGCAAGTGATGGACTGGTGAAATTTGATATTAATTGAAGTCAACCAACCCAATTGAGAAAAATTGGAGTTTAGTGAGCCAACTGAGATTTAGCAAAAAGTTCAATGACCGCAAATGAAATTTTCTCCAAATCAGACTATTTTGTTCTCAAAGGAATGGTGATTCACCCCTCCATAGGTTGTAGAACTGAAATTCAAACTATTCCCAAACTAATTACTATGTTAAATTTGGAAACACAACTTTATCAGTTCCCACATATTCATTATACAGATGAAATCAAACAAAAAGTTGAGATAACTTTGATTTTGGATTGCATGCTCTAATTGGAATAAGAATAACTCAATCTACAGACTTCGTAGAAAAAACCTTTCAGGTAGAAATGTTGGGAATACCTCGACTGGTGACCCTAGGAGTAGACGACGATAATAGCAATTCATGAGGAACGCCGCCACCACTTCGGTTCCATCCACGTGTCCTCCATCTGCAACGACTATTAAAGGTTTGGGAACCTAGTTGTCAAAATGAAAGGTTTTGTTATGCTTTGCAACATTTTAAAAGGTTTGAGACCATAACTGCAATTTTCCCTATAAATTATGACACAAACGATTACCTTCATTAATTGAGCGGAGGATTCTATCACGTGTATATATAGAGCCATCTTATCGAATTTTTTTTCTTTAACAAAGTTGACAATTTAAAATTAATGCCCGAATCTTAATTTGAAGTCAATGCAATCACATTCAAGATCGGTGTTATAAAAATGAACTACTATCTCGTGGGACGTACATCAAACATTTTCTTAGGGAATTACAAAATACACCATATATTTAGAGTGTATTTATAATATGCATACAGTATTTTGCAAATTTACATTTTGAAAACTGTATATTAGTTATTAATAACAAAAAAATACACCTGCAAAAAAGATAGAAGTATATATATTTACAAACTTGTCAATATAAATAGTTAAACGGGTCAAAGTACTCCTAATTAAAACGAATCACACCCTATAGGTTACATTACATAACATTTTACATACTATTTTATTATTTTTTAAAAAATTTAATTCCTAATGCTCTTTTATTCAAAAAAAAAAAAAAAATCTTATTTCTTCTCTCTTACACTTCTCCATTTCATAAATTAATTTTATATCAATCGAGTATCTTGACTAAACTATTTTTTTTTACACATTGACTAGCCTATTAAGATGACAAATTTTTAATTTCATTTTTCCACAAAATTGTATATTTTATTAACAATATTCATACTTATCTTCTCTTTTAAAAAAAATTCTCTTAAAAAATGGAAAAGGGACATAAGAAACAGAAATTGAAATCTTATGTATGAATACTTTCTATTTATTAAATTGCAAAATGGAATAAAATAAATTGAAATATAGTGCAAAATAATACATCATATCTTATATTAATTTCTGATTTGCTTTCAAAATATTATTGATTGAACATAAACTAATTTATTAGATGATGTCAATTAGTAAAATTTCATTTGCCCATTTTACATTGTTGGATCAAAATCAAATGGAACTTTTGCTATACTTTCCAACACTATTGATTTATTGATTTTTTTTCTTCGAGCTATTGCTGAAATAAAATGAAGATCACAAATTTTGGTGGTCGTTTGGTAAAGATTAAAATCCGATTAAAAGTGAAAATATAACCGTTATTGGGTCTCACTCGTATAATAAAAATCAACAATAACGGCTAGTTTAGGAATGCGCAATATATCAGTTGATGTGAACTTAGCCTATGACTGCAAATTACGGTGGAAGTTTAGGGAACAAAAATCACTATGGAGTCAAGTCTTGCAAGCCAAATATTGTAAGCTTAGTCATGCGTGTGTTGTTAGACATAGCTCCCAAGATTCTGGGCTGTGGGGCAAAGTGAATTTTAAACATGATGCCTCGCTTAAGTCGGGAGTTATTGAAGGAAGGCTAAAACAGATTATTCTACAAGAGAAGCTTGTAAATGACTATAGGCATAACAATGAATGGGATATCTCCTCTCTGAATAATATCCTTCCAGCTAGTGTAGTCAATGACATTACGAAGATTCCAATTAATAATGTTCCAGACAAGATGTTCTGGAAACCCAATACTGCAGGAGTATTCACCATTTCTTCGTGCATTAACCTTTTCAGGTAGAGCAAAACAAGACAAATGACTTATAAGCAAATATAGGATAAGAATGTTCCCCAAAAAATTGTGTTTTTAGGATGGAGGCTTTGGCATAGTCGGTTACTTGTTGATGATATCATTCAGAATATGTATGGGATACAATTAGCCTCCAAATGTCAATGCTGTAATAATTTAGAAAGTATTAGTCATGTTTTTCTCGATAGTCGTGTTGCAAAAGAGGTCTGGGAATACTTCTGTAGGATCATGAGTGTGCAATATATCAGCTGTGGCCACCCAAGGGTAATGCTTATGCACTGGTTCCTACAGAAGAAAGAAAGCTCTGGAGAGGTTAGCAAGATTGCACCTCTGGTTATTATTTGGTTTCTGTGGTTAGCCAGAAATAATGCCAAATACAAACACTATCCGATAAAGGCGGACAATATTATTAAGCAAGTTAATGTTCTGATCAATGCCCTTCATAGGGCAGGGAAGATCTAATTTAATGGGAGAATTAAGTTTAGAAAACCGATAGCTGTAAAGTGGAACAAGCCCGATTCAGGCTGGCATAAACTGAATACTGATGGGGCATTGAAAGTAAATTCTTTGGCCTCAGGTGGTGGTATTCTAAGGAATAACATGGGAAATGCTTCTTGGGGTTTTTATGATTATTATAATGATTGTTCTATACTGGAAGCTGAGCTCAGAGCCGTTGACACGGGCTTGCAATTGTGTCTGAAACATGGGATAAGGAAAGTCTGGGTAGAATCTGATTCTAAGGTGGCACTTACTCTGATCAAACAAGACAATGGTCCATGGGAAGTACAATATATTTTACAATCCATTAGATGGCATATGGAGAAAATGGAGTGTAAAATGACACACACTTTGAGGGAAGGCAACCAAGTAGCTGACTGGTTTGCATCGAAAGGGTATAGTGAAAGGAATTTTAGATGGATGGGAGTTGGCGAATTCAAGGGAAGGATCAAAGGACTTGTAAACCTTGACAAAATTGGAGTGGACTCTATCAGACTTGTTCCTAACTAGTTTTGCATATTGTTTCTAGATTTGTTATTTAGTAGACATCGCATTTTTAGGTCCTGTTTAGCATAGTGTTGAGTTGTTTTTCATTAGTAGCTTTGTAAAGGTTTGTTGTAATACTTTTGGAGGTAAGGTACATAAGTCCCCATCTTTGCATTGTATTTGAATTTCTTTAAATAAATCCATATCCTACGGCTTGGATTTTCAAGTTAGGATATTTTAACCAAAAAAATGCTAGTTTTTCAATTTTAATTCGATTTTAATTTCTGCCGAACACGCCATGTATACATTTTTTACCATAGTTTTCTTTTTTTAAGCATTAAATGAAACATCATAAGCTTTTAATAGTTTGATTTTAAAGAATAATTAAATAGTTAAACAAATCGGTATGTAAAGTTTTATATACCCACAAATAAACATGCAGGGTGTGACAAATTTATAAACATTTTTATTTTTCCTACAATATTTACCAATAACTAAATACAGTATGCAAAATGAAAATAGCTGATAATAACAATACAAGCTACTAGTGCATTCAACACTCCTAGAGAAGTTGTAACTGGCGAGAGCTTTATGTTCAGGGGAGGAAAGTTATATTAAGATTATCCAGTTTGATGTGGTTGCCATTACGGGTACTTTGTGTGTGTTCATGTTCGACATGTATCATTTCGTATTCATTATTGACACTCTTTGACCACTTCATACTGTAAACTATGCCCATGTTTGGTGCGAATTAAAATCTTGATAAAATTCAACTATTAAAAAAAGCATGTTTGAGCCCCCTTTTTGCCCAAAATGTATTTTAGAATAGTATTTTTATGGAGAATGTGCGGTTAAAAAATAAGAAAAAAAATTGGGTTTATATGTATTATTATTTTATTGAAAAATATATATTTGAAAATAAGACAGAAAATGTATTTTGGAAATAATGAGAACCAAATAAGAACTAAATTTATAATTTTAAAGAATTAAATTAATGGATTTTTCACATGTCTGTTTTTACGTTCTTGAAAATCAGGTGTCAACGTTCGTATCGTGTCCGTGCAACACAATCTTCAATTATAATATTACAATTCAGGGTATTCATCAAATAATGTAGGTGTCGACGTTCCATGGTAGCAGCTAGCAAGTAATGCATCAGTGTCTGTTAATTTCAGTTCTTGTGTATTCAATTCTTGATGGACCTTCATTTCTTGTTTCCTTGTTTTCTCACTGCATTCTTGGTTTAATGCCAGATCATCTATCTAGATTTGTTATTTAGTAGACATCGCATTTTTAGGTCCTGTTTAGCATAGTGCTGAGTTGTTTTTCATTAGTAGCTGTGTAAAGGTTTGTTGTAATACTTTTGGAAGTAAGGTACATAAGTCCCCATCTTTGCATTGTATTTGAATTTCTTTAAATAAATCCATATCTCACGGCTTGGATTTTCAAGCTAGGATATTTTACCGAAAAAAGGCTAGTTTTTCAATTTTAATATCTACTGAACACGCCATGTATACATTCTTTACCATAGTTTTTTTTTAAGCATTAAATGAAACATTATAAGCTTTTAATAGTTTGATTTTAAAGAATAATAAAATAGTTAAACAAATCGGTATGTAAAGTTTTATATACCCACAAATAAACATGCAGGGTGTGACAGATTTATAAACATTTTTATTTTTCCTAAAATATTTACCAATAACTAAATACAGTACGCAAAATGAAAATAGCTGATAATAACAATACAAGCTACTAGTGCATTCAACACTCCTAGAGAAGTTGTAACTGGCGAGAGCTTTATGTTCATGGGAGGAAAGTTATATTAAGATTATCCGGTTTGATGTGGTTGCCATTACGGGTACTTTGTGTGTGTTCATGTTCGACATGTATCATTTCGTATTCATTATTGACACTCTTTGAACACTCCATACTGTAAACTATGCCCATGTTTGGTGCGAATTAAAACCCCAAAATGTATTTTAGAATAGTATTTTGATGGAGAATGTGCGGTTAAAAAATAAGAAAAAAAATTGGGTTTGTATGTAATATTATTTTATTGAAAAATATATGTTTGAAAATAAGACAGAAAATGTATTTTGGAAATAATGGGAACCAAATAAGAGCTAAATTTATAATTTTAAAGAATTAAATTAATGGAATTTTCACATGTCTGTTTTTACGTTCTTGAAAATCAGGTGTCGACGTTCATATCGTGTCCGTGCAACACAATCTTCAATTATAATATTACACTTCAGGGTAGTCATCAAATAATGTAGGTGTCGACGTTCCATGATAGCAGCTAGCAAGTAATGCATCAGTGTCTGTTAATTTCAGTTCTTGTGTACTCAATTCTTGATGGACCTTCATTTCTTGTTTCCTTGTTTTCTCACTGCGTTCTTGGTTTAATGCCAGATCATCTATGAGTGACCTTCATTTCTTGTTTCCTTGTTTTCTCTCTGCGGTCTTGGTTTAATGCCAGATCATCTTATCTGTGTATTAGATTATACAACGTAGTACCTTGTTTGTTGTGTGAATTTTTGTGGATGTTTATGCTACAACATTTGACCACGACATACTAAGAAATTAATTTACTGCACAAGGCGCGGATCGTTGAAAAGACGGAATATTCATATTTTTCGCTCAAAAATTTTTGGAGGAGACTAAAACACAAGGCTGAGGAATAAGAATATCGAACCATGAAACAAAAAATGATAACAACATCAATCAATTTACAATCATGCGACATGTACATTATCTTTGATATTGTTGTTTACATTGTGTTACGTGACAACATACCATTAGACAGTTTAAAAAAATAAATTTCCTGCCCGCCCACAATTTTTTTAATACAAAGGGAATATCAAACAATATGTAGAGGATGTAATAAACATTTAGCATTATTGATCAATTTATGCTTGTCAGATTCATTGTGGGGCTAGAATCTATTACAAGGCTGAGGGCTTGTGTTCCACCTACTGAGCTAGACGGGTTAGTGATATTTTGCACAGAGAATCTAGGGATAATTACATAAAACCAGTTGTTTAGTTTTAAATTTCTGAAAATCAGGTTTTAGCTTTATTTAATCAAAAATCAAGTTTTATCATTTTTAATTAATAATAATATTATAAAATTAAAGCCCCTGTTTGGTACACATTAAATTTTCATTCTTATTCTTCTACTCATTTTCAACCACACATCTTTCAATAAAATAATAATTTTCATCACATCAATAACTTTTCCTTTCTTTTCAACCACACATTTTTCATCAATCTACTATTTCAAAATACATTCTTCCGAAATAATGTGGATCAAACACACCCAAAATAATATTTGTACCCACCCTACTACCTACCCCCACCAAATTTATATAAAACCTAAATCTATCCAAACCCTAACCTAACCTAATCCAATTCATTTCTCTCCTCTCTCCCCCTTCGCCACCCCCGCCACCTCTCTCCACCGTCGCCCGCGTCGCCTCCTCCTCCCTCCCCCCTTAGGTCGCGACACTGCAGTGGGTGCGACACTGCAGCGACACCCACTGCAGCGTCGCGCGACGATGTTGTGGGTGTGTAGCAGCGTCGCGTGACGCCGTTCACAGCAGCGTCGCTCGACGCTGCTGTGGTCGTCCGCCTCTTGGAGATCTATTCTAGATCCCAATTCGTGGTATTTCTCTGACGATTTTGTGGTGGCAGAGGTGGAGTGTGATGATGGTGTTTGTGCTTTGTGTGTTTCGTATGTAAGTGTTCAGTAGCTAATGAAATATGGGTTTATTGTTGTTTAGCCTGCGACTGGGGATGTGTGGTTGTGGAGGTGGTGGATCTGTAGTGGTATGTTTTGGGCGGTGGTGATGGTCGTGTGGTGGTGATGGTGATCCGTGTGGTGGTGGTTGTTTTTTTGTTATTATTGTGGTGGGGTCAGAGGTGGTGGTTTTTTTTTGGTGTCTATGACTTAGCTATTGAATTGTGGTGGTTTTTTTTTGTCTGTGACCTCGCTATTGAACTGTGGTGGTGTTTTCTGGTGTCTGTGACCTAGCTAGTGTCTGTGATGTAGCTATTGAACTATGGTGGTTTTTTCTGGTATCTGTGACCTAGCCAGTGTCTGTGACCTCGCTATTGAACTGTGACTTTAAAATTGATAATTTGTAACTAAAAAAGGAATCTGTGACCCCACAAATTTGAAAATACGTGACATGTGACATATAATTTTTTTGATCTGTGATCTTGAAATTGGAGCAGTTACTGGAATTAACGGCCACTGGAAAATGTTCGTCGAAATTAAGTGCGGTCGGAGAATATTTGTCGGAGTAGTCGTCAATCGTCAGAGTAATCGCCGGAGTGGTGGTGGTGGAGGTGGGGTGGAGTATTTTATATTACAGTTAAATATTTAATTTAATAGATTAATTGTAAAATATAATTAATTAGTTTATGGAAAAATCTGAGTTTTGTAAATTTAAATCTTGGGACTTGATTTTTTATTTTGAGATAGATAAAACCTGAGTTGTAAACTTTTCCCGAGAATCTAACGATCGTCCCAGTCAAATTATTAAAGCCCAATCCAACTCAAGCCCATTATCTATCAAATGGGTCAAAACCAGTTCGGAATCGGATTTGGGCTCTCCTCTCCTCTATATTGCTGCGCAAGCAAACTGACTATATATTTTCTTTTCTTTTACATCTTCACAGATTTCTGCGATTACATTTCAGATTCACCATTTCTCTGCAACAACTCTCAGAAATCAGGTAAAATCTCGATTAAGTTTGAATTTACTATTAAATCAGGATTATACTTAATCCGAAACTATTGAATTTTTCATAATCTTATAATTCGCTCTTTTCTGGGTTTACGTTTTAATAATATGCTGTGAGTTTATAATTGTACAGTAAAAATGAATAAATTGCTAATTTTGAATTTATCGATTAATTTTCAGTTGAAAAAGGTTAAATGATGAAGATTGACTTTAGCGGACTGGAACCCTTGGCCTCGCTTTGCGGAATCAAGGAGCATGACGAGATCTCAAAGCCTCTTTCGTTTGAACTTCCTATTACTGGTGATGTGAGTTCCGATTTAATTGTTTCTGTTGGTTAATGTTGTGTGGAATCTTTATGCTGATTTTTTTGGGATATTTTAGTTTGATGAGTTTCAGAAAGAAGCTATCCAAATGGTGAAGCCAGCAAAGGGAACCACTACCCTAGCTTTTATATTCAAGGAAGGCGTTATGGTTGCTGCTGATTCACGTGCTAGCATGGGAGGATATATATGTGAGCCTTTTTGACTTAGTACTTGGTTTTGGCTTGTTGGTCATAAGGAATTCAATGTGTAGGGACCTGAATGTTTGTGTAGTTTTGTTTGTTTGCAAAGAATTTGGAGACGAAAATTGAGTCTTGGAAAGGAATATATCTGTAGTTTAACTGTGGTTTTGTGCTCTACGCTCATGGACATGCTAGCTTCTTTGGTCGCTATTTCTTTATTTCCTTACACATGATGTTTGAACTCCCTTACGTTTGAAGTTTGAACTACCAGAGTATCGGGTAATCGTATATTTTGCTTCTTTGAATGTTGCCTCTTTGTTCTACAAAAATATCCCATAAATATATATACAAATATCCAACCTAGCATTCTCTAGATAACTTCGCTAATATATTATACTAGCTACCTTCTAGAAGCTTTATCAAGCTTAAGGTGTTGCTTACACTAGTTTCATCTAGATCCTTCCTTCGTGTTTGAAGTGATGGTACATCAACAACGTTTCAGCTAGCTCAAGACACCTCCGCACTAGATTCTTCATACTTAAGCCATGTTTGGCTGGCCATTCTTAAAATAGTGTAGCTGTGCGATCCGTCTTAACATAGCGCCCTGGCTTGCGCTAAAATTCAGCAGTGGAGTAAACGGAAAGTGCCAATGTCTTGTGGACAGTAAAAGTTAGGAATTGAAAATGTATATCAAAAATAGACAACATATGACTCGTCGAACCATGCCATGGGCATTCAAGGAGTGTTGGTGTTTCACACGACACAAAATGTGTCAAACTTAGACATGCCACCCTTTTAGGAGTGTCCATGCAACATAGGCAGTAGTTATAGATTACCTTCCTTTCCAACAATATAAAATTAGTGAAAATACACTTATAGTTGGGATACGGCATTCAAGAAGTATAATAGTTTATTGAAAAACTACTCAGATCTTGATTGATTTGGATGCATTGAGTGTGATGCAAGTCTATGGATGCCCTGGCTGCTAGATTAGTTGAATTGAAGCAATGCAAAGAAAACCCTGCCAGAATGTGTGCGAATTTTGGATCATTAAGATGGATTCCGGAACCCATGTCTCAGGGTTTTTGTCTTAAACTGAGAACTAATTTTGGATGAAATGATTTGGATTTTCATAGTAAGCAGAGGTTAATGTTGAACTTGACTGATCTTCTATAGTGAGGGACACTTTACTTTCATATCCTGAGCAATACATCCATTTCTCATGGAGACTTCCTTTTTTTTTCATCTTGACCCTCCTCTTCAAGTATTTTCTTATTTTGACGAACTCCAGAATATTTAGCCCTTGTTTGACAACCATTAAAATGAGTTTTGGAATGGTGATTTTTTTTGGAGAATGTGTGGTTAAGATGTGGAAAAAAGTTTTAGGTTTACGTGCAAAATATTTTATTGTGGGAATATGTGGTTGAAAATGAGTTTGAGAAAAAAATAGTTTTAAAATAATGGTTGTCAAACAATGGGCTTAATTTGTTTTTGAGTCATGATACATAGATGCCCTGAAACTATCTGCTGGACTAGCATGCATTTGAAATATATGCAACAATTGTGGTATGATATTTTATATTTATATGTTTCTTATCTGCATTTTATTGTTGTGCTTTGGGGAGTTGCAAATTCATACTCATGTATTTTATGGATCTGAGTTTTAATATATTGACATTTATTGATTGCTTATGGTACATTGAGGTGAGTAAAGCAATGTTCAACTAAAAATAAATAGGCTGTTCTTGTTATGGTTCCTTGGAGTTATATTCTCTGGTGATTCCGTAAATAGTAACATTCTTTATCTGATAATTATTTGCATTTTAACTACTATCATATTTCCTTCATATTTGATTTGGTTTACCTCTTCATGTATATGTCAGCATCACAAACTGTTAAGAAAATCATTGAAATTAATCCATACATGCTTGGCACAATGGCTGGAGGAGCTGCTGACTGCCAGTTCTGGCACAGGAATCTGGGTGTTAAGGTATTTGTATTGAATTTACCTCTAATGTTGTTTGGTTTCTTTTATCGTCGTTCTCATTGTCAACAAGGAAGATAGCTAGTGGTTATAGCTATACATGTGTATTTTTGTAGATTAAAGCGTTATTCTTAATTGGGTGATTGATCCCTCTGGCATTGGTTACTATGACATTTTAAACTGTTATGTCCTCTTGAATAATATTTCTCGAAAATAGTAAATCTTTCTCCTCACTTTAACATTCAGCTTGTCAAACGAGTTGACTTTTCTTATGGAAATGTCAACACATGTTTTGTGCCTTTTTTTCTGGTGCATTAACTGATATGTTGTATATTTCGGGACTGTTAAATTCTAATTAAAAAGGAGTCTGATTTTTGCTATAAACTCTTAAATAGTATTTTGATTCCAGCAAATGAAAACTAATCATAAATCAAGTATGGATATAAAGAAATGGAGAGCTTCTCATCCATTTCATTCTCCTTTTGGACCCTTTTTTGATCATTTTTTTTCCATTCTCTTTTTGGACCCTTTTTTGAACATATTTTTTCCCCAACTTATTTTCTGTGATTAATGCGCCAACCTCGGGATTCTTTACTCCTAACCAAGACGGAGTTTAACCTGAGTCTCGGTTAAGAACGGCAATGATCTACGTAGGTATATCTTGTCACGTTAAAGTCAAGAAAAATGAGGATGATTAATGGTAAAATTTTCCATTGCAGTCTTGATCCTTGCAATGATTGGTTATGACTCTTTCGAAATCTCAATGTGTATCCTGGTGAGGGAGGATGACAACATAATATGAGAGTGGAAATGTGATACAGTTTTAATTCCCAAGCAAGAATCTGCTAATTTTAATTTGCCTCTGTTTTCAACTATTCAATGACATAACGTTTTTATGCATCTATAAAACTTCGGATGTCCATGAAAATGCATTACATACTTATGACAATATTATATGAACTAACTGGCTACTACTTATGGTTTCTAGAGAATTTACCAGTTGATATAATGTAGATGCTGTTGGGTGGCTTGTTATTTGTTTTCTACAATTGCTTGGGGTGTCAACATGCCCCCTGAGATAGTATTTACGGTCTGAGTTTGAGGTTTCAGTTTGAACAACAATGGTTAAATATAAACATTTTGTTACTTTTTATTTCCACCATACGAATACAAGATTACTTTATTATATTCGTTTCCCTACAATAATACTAATTGATGGTGATCCTGCACACTTTAGTGTCGATTGCACGAACTGGCAAATAAGAGAAGAATATCCGTAACTGGAGCCTCAAAGTTGCTGGCTAACATTCTCTATTCTTATCGGGGAATGGGTTTATCTGTTGGAACTATGATAGCTGGCTGGGATGAGAAGGTAACTGGTGAAATATAGAATGCCATTGACCTGCATCCGTAGGATGTTTCTAATGCTTTGGCATTTTGGTGTAGGGTCCTGGCCTGTATTATGTGGACAGTGAAGGAGGAAGGCTGAAAGGAACTAGATTCTCTGTTGGATCTGGTTCGCCATATGCTTACGGTGTTTTGGACAGTGGGTGAGTTATTCATTTCCCTGTTGTGAATGTTTCACAATTTTCTCTTAACCGTTGTATACTCAGAATCGTGATATGAAACAAGCTTCAAGGATTGTCGCGATGTTTTCTTGGACAATTTTTTTATATTGTACCAGTAATTTATGCGTCACCTTTGCTTGTTGCCTCTTATTGCAAATAAACTATATACATTGTGCCTCTCGCAGATGACTTTTCTCCTAACTTATCCATGGCTTGTATTTAGTTAGCACTTTCCACTTCTGCATTCACTTTTCAGTTTTAATCTAATGAAATTGCTATAGGCAAACCTTAATGTTGTTTTGCATTGTAATTGTCTAGCTACCATTATGATATGTCTGTTGAAGAAGCTGCAGAGTTGGCAAGACGAGCTATTTACCATGCAACATTCCGTGATGGAGCCAGTGGTGGCATTGCCAGTGGTATTGCACTAGTCCCCGTATCACCTCGTTTTCTCCTTCTTTATACCCTCATTTTTTCTGTGCGCATGCTTGTTCAATCATGTCCTGTGGTTATTGCAGTTTATCACGTTGGACCAAATGGATGGACAAAGCTATCTGGCGATGATGTTGGAGAACTTCACTACAAATACTATCCAGTCGAAACAGAAGTTGTAGAGCATGAGATGGCTGAATTGTCAGTGGCCTGAGCCAGAGCGAGATAGAGGACATAGAATATTTGCTGGCGTGCTTCTGAATTACATTTAACGCATTGAACATGAAAAACTTGTTTTGCTTCTTGATGATGAAATATAACCAAGTCCTGCCATTCTTGATGCAATTTAATATTGGCTCCCCCCTTTCCCCTTCAAATTGTACCAGACTTTCATTTGTTTACTATGTGAGATTACGAATGCACGCTTTTCTTATTGCGAGTTAGCTGATTTTGAATCTATCATCACACATTCAATTATCAAAAGAATTGCATTTCATAATCATGTTAAAATGACTCGGAGAATTGCATTCATAATTAATTAGGGTAAAAGAAGGTATATAAGCAACTTTGCTTGGCAGCTAATTTTAGGCACTCCACTTTTATGAAACCATTAAGCAAATGGGACCACCAATACTCACACACCAACTCCGTTCATGATAACCATTTGATGTTGAAATGCTAGATGGGAGTTGCTACTAAAATTTGTCTTTTCTATGAAGCAAGTGATTCTTTCTTCTTACCCCAGCCTTTTGTCTAGGAATTTTGTGCTTATCGTTTTTGCATTCCGATTCATTCGATAATGAATGGTGAAGTTCACTGCCACTGAAATTGGCATTATGCACTGCCACTTGCTCTTCTAAATTTAATGGCATAAATGAAACTCAATTTTCTTGGACGATTAGGGGCTGAACTTGGGAGCATGAATAGACTACTGCCATATTCCAACTTGCTTAAAAATATTTGTTTTCCTAATATCTAACTGCTCTGTTCTACTTGATGAATGATGCATAGACAATCACACACACAGACTTTTGTTTGCTTCTAAGCATGTTTTCATGATTGGGTGTGAGAACTAATCATCCCTACTTCCACTAAACAATTAAAGTAAATGGTGGCTTTTGAGTATTTTTCAATAGGGGAGAGAAAATAAGTCAATTAAGAGAGAAAATAAGTACTTATATATTACTATTTAAGTACAAGTGGAAGAATTGGACAAATTATGTGCTTTTTTGTTTTAGCATAAGATGATGTTTACGTTACTTGGATGGGATGCTAAGATTTAATGATTGATGATTTATCTTTTCTCCAAATATGTGCCAATATATTCATCACCCACCTTCATCCCTTACCTCCTCCTCCTTTCAAAACATTTATGATGTATTATACTCGTGCATGTTTGATATACAGTGTAAATAGCTTAATTTTAATTTTTTTTCTTTTTTAATAATATCAAATACCGCTTCATTTATTTTACCAAATATTCCATAATATTACTTTAGGAATCCCAATAGGGTTAATATTTTTACACAATACAAGGTTATATGATCTATACACGTTATTATGGAATCAATCTACTTGTACACTGAATTTATACAAATAGATTGATAATTTGTGAGGTGTCAAGATCATTGTCATTAATTTTAAAAATAATTTTTCAAATCGATGGACATGATATATGCCAACTCATACATTGTCAAATTAGTTGCACAAATAGAATGAATGCATTATTACGAGATGTCTCTACTCCCTCCCTCCCTCGATAATTAAGAAGAATATACCGATCAGGGTATCCCCAAACCCAAAGGACAACATAACCTTACTTATTGCAAGCCTTTACTCTTGAATGGACCACACCTTGCTCTTGACGCCAGCCATGTCCACTATTCATTTCTTGAAAATCAATAGTTATAATGATTTATCCATTAGATATAAATTAAATTGCATGCAACCACATTGTGTAACCAAGATCTGCTTTTGTCATATGATAAATACAAGGGCCTACAAACAGATCATCTTTCTCCTTAACCATTCAATGTAGAAGGATCATATCGCCTATGTCTAGAGCAAAGAATATTTATTTGCGATAAAAAAATCATTCAAAATGCTCATTCAAGTAATATTTCAATTCAAGAAAATGATACATTAAGAGCAATTGAGGCCTAGGGAAGCTTAGGGAATGATCTCTTCACCATTTTCAAGTCGTTTTTTATTTTCGATTTTTCAAAATAGTAAAAACACGTTCTTTTTCCTATTTTCGAAAAGGCGTTTTTGAAAACAAGTTAAAAATTTATAAAAAAACTCAAGACGACAATTTGTCGTTTTAAATGTTTTCAGTTATAATCAAATCAAAATTTTCAAAACGCATTTTGAGTGTTTTCAAAACAATTTTTCAAAATGTCAAAAAGAATACATTTTCAACAATCTCAAAATGGACACTCGAAACACAAAACTCAAAATGATTTCAAAACACAAAACTGAAATACAAAGAGAACAATCATTTATTTTTTTTTCACTTTTTGATCTTTCAAGGAAATTCGAAATAATAATTACATACAACAATAAATTAAGTTTATTTTTTATGGATTTGAAATCGATTATACTGGTGAAGGAACTATAGAAACAACATTTTTAGAAATAAAATTCTCAAATATCAAGTTCAAAAATAAAATAAAATAAAATAAAATAAAATAGGTATTGTACATCACAATCACTATTCCTTTGCTATAAAAATTACCGAAATTCAGACTAATACTTACAATTAAAAAGAAAAATACTAAGTGTAGATAATTATTGTAGAATTAAAAATGCCACATTGCTTTTCTTCTACTTCCTCCCCACGCCCTCCCACTGTTGGAAAGAGTGGATGTGGAGCCCAGTCATTAGAACCCTCCTCGCACTCCAGTCTTTTTCTCATAAATTCCTCAACTCCCCCCGGCCAAACCCCACCAGCACCACCACTCCACCACCATCAATGAATGCACTATGAAAAATTACAAAGCATAACAGCCTTTTTATTTCACCTAAAAGAACAGCCTTTTCAACCCCTTTTTGTGTTTTGATTTATACTGCGCGCGTTTATATCATGATGTTCTTGCCAAGGTTGTGTTTTTTAACTATTTTTGTTTTGTTGAATTTTAATGGAGATATCAAATTTGGAGTTTGTTTGACTTCCGACGGCCTGTCTTTGCTTTCCTTGAAGTCCGCCGTGGATACCGCCTCTGCATCGGCTAGCTTTGCCGACTGGAATGAGAACGATTCAACGCCGTGCCGCTGGAGTGGAATTTCATGCATGAACATCTCCGGCTCGGCGGACCCGCGTGTTGTAGGCATATCCATTGCCGGTAAGAATCTCCGGGGGTATATTCCGTCGGAGCTTGGCGGCTTGATTTATCTCCGTCGGCTTAATTTTCATGATAACAACTTTTATGGGTCAATTCCCGATCAACTGTTCAATGCTTCATCTCTGCACAGCATCTTTCTCTATGGTAATAATCTCAGCGGTTCTCTACCCCCCTCTATGTGTAACCTTCCTCGCCTACAAAATCTTGATCTTTCGAATAATTCCATATCTGGGCCACTCCCGAAGTTTATGAGGAACTGTCGGCAGTTGCAGAGGCTTATTCTCGCCGGAAATGATTTTTCCGGCGAGATCCCGGAGGGGATCTTCCCGGAACTTGCCAATTTGGAGCAACTTGATCTATCGGGGAACAAATTTAATGGTTCGATCCCAGTAGATATAGGAGAATTGAAATCGCTTTCAGGGACTTTGAATTTGTCATTCAATCTTTTTACAGGGAAAATTCCAAAAACATTGGGTGATTTGCCACTTACTGTGAGTTTTGATCTTAGGAACAATAACTTACTTGGTGAAATTCCACAAACAGGGTCATTTGCGAATCAGGGTCCTACAGCATTTTTGAATAATCCGATGTTGTGTGGATTTCCATTACAAAGGACTTGTAAAAACAATTCTGAAAATACCCCTGGGATTCAGAGTGCTTCTCGCGAAAATGAGGATATTAATGAGAGCAAGGGGCTAAAACCGGGGTTGATTATATTGATAGCGGTAGCTGATGCTATTGGAGTGGCATTTGTAGGTTTAGTGATTGTTTACGTGTATTGGAAGAGAAAGGATTCTCATGGTTGTAGTTGTACTGGGAAAGGGAAGCTCGGGAGAAATGAGAAGACGTGTGTTTTTCCTTGCATTAGTAATTTCCCGAGCAATGATTCGGAGGTGGAGTCAGAAAAGGGTGGTGGTGGAGCTAGTGGTGGGATTAGTGGTGGGGAGGGAGATCTCGTGGCAATTGATAAGGGGTTTAATTTTGAGTTGGACGAGTTGTTGAGGGCGTCAGCTTATGTGTTAGGGAAGAGCGGGTTGGGGATTGTGTACAAGGTTGTGCTCGGAAATGGAGTGCCTGTGGCCGTGAGGAGGTTGGGAGAAGGCGGTGAACAGAGGTATAAGGAGTTTGTAGCTGAGGTTCAGGCAATCGGGAGAGTAAATCATCCGAATGTTGTGAAGTTGAGGGCCTATTACTGGGCACCTGATGAGAAGCTTCTCATCAGCGATTTCATTTCCAATGGCAACTTAGCTTTTGCTCTTCGCGGTAAGTTATTAATTTTTTTTCGCTAAATTGCATTTATTTTTAAATTTTATGTGCATAGATTCCAACGTTAATGGTTAACTAGGATTATAGTTCAAGATAATACCTTTCTTTAATCCTAGAAGATAGCTTGGCTTGTAGAAGGTAGCTTGGCTTGTACACCATTATGGATGGTGCAATAACTGGGATAAGTAGCAACGGGAGATAGTTATATGGGTTAACTTTACCCCAAAAAAGAGGGAAAAAAAACTATTATATTTGATTTCCTTTGGTGTATATTTTTTGGTGTAAATGAATATGTTTCATTAAGGAGTGAAGGAGAAGAAACAAAAAGAAAGGAAGTGGGTGAGTGTTGACCGTAGTTTTTGTTAATAATGGTGTTTCTGATGTAATCATTATTATCATTGTGTACACCTTTGTAATGAGGACTACTCCATAAGGATATGCCTTTACCAACAATCTTGTACCTAACTTGGCCATATATTGGTGAGTCTGGTGGAATGTTAGGTTATTTTTTATCAATTTGTGCCGAATTGAAGTGAAAACATGACATTGTACCTGATGCTACCAAAAATCGTCTACTTTAAGATCATCAGTACCAAAGTGGAGCAAAAACTTATTCCACTTCTTAACGTGAATTTCTGATGAGGGGGCCCGACTGCTGATATAAGTTGCATCAAGAACCCAAAACATTTCCTGCATTGTACTTTTAGATAATATTATTTTTTCGATTAGAGAAAGGTGATACTTCTATTTATGATTTAAAAGCTCATGATTTGCCTATAAAATTTATTTATGCGAGATGGTCATACTTTGACACCTGCCCTTTTTGGATATTCGGCTTATTTGACCCTTTGAACGTGCCATGAACACATTCACATAAGTTCAATATGAGTTTGAATTCTGAAGTTAAAGTATAGCCACTGAGGGTTTTGTTTGTAATCATCAAGAGATAGGGGTGAAGTTGAACTTCATGCCTTAAGCAGGATATATATCTTACGGTGCTAAAACAGGTTATAATTGGTATGAATTGTTGTTCTTATGTTCAACCTGAATGGAAATGGCAGTGAATGCTAAAATAAATGCTGATTTCATAGGGTAGACTGGATACCAGTGGATCGACATATATTTTCTGGTATTATTTTTTCTTTCATGTGTGAATGTTGGACTGATAAGGTCCAATTCTACAGGGAAAAATGGTCAGCCGTCATCCAGTTTAACATGGTTAACCAGGCTGAAAATTGCGAAAGGTACAGCACGGGGCTTGGCCTACCTACATGAATGTAGCCCGAGAAAATTTGTTCATGGAGACATTAAACCATCAAACATTCTCCTTGACAATGAATTTCAGCCGTACATATCTGATTTTGGCCTCAACCGGCTGATTACCATCACTGGAAACAACCCTTCCTCTTCCGGGGGCTTTATTGGTGGTGCGCTTCCCTATCTAAAACCAAACCTACCAGAGAAAACGAACAATTATCGAGCACCAGAAGCTCGAGTCACCGGTAGCCGACCTACCCAAAAATGGGACGTCTACTCATTCGGAGTCGTCTTACTTGAAATGCTAACTGGTAAATCTCCAGACTATTCATCTCCAACGGCTTCAACATCTACAGAGATCCTGGATCTCGTAAGGTGGGTAAGGAAGGGATTCCACGAGGAAAACCCGTTGTCTGATATGGTAGACCCTATGTTGCTTCAAGAAGTACGCGCCAAGAAGGAAGTACTGGCTGTATTTCACATTGCCCTTGCATGCACAGAGGGAGACCCCGAGGTTCGACCGAGGATGAAAACTGTGTCTGAAAATCTGGAGAAAGTTGGATAATGAGAAATCGGCATAATTATTGTCCGAATCTTTTAGCAGTAAGCAAAACTTGTCTGCAATTTTGTATGTTTGTCCTAATACTTCCGGAACATTCTTTTCGCCAGATTTATCTACTTTTGTAGATTCATTCCCTATTGAGTGGCAATTTAGTTTATACATTTGTAATTTATGTACTTTCTGTAAGTTACTTTGCATTTGCAATAAAATTATACAAATTCTATTCCCTCGTGTTTGATTTCTCTCTCTGATATCTGCACAAGTTTGCAGTAGTCTATATATATAGAAGTTCATGGGAGTCATTTCACGTAGGCTGTAGGTCTCAACAATCGAGCTCAGCACAGGCTACGCGGTGCTTTTCCCTTGTGGGGTCGCTCAACTGGCACATTTTGATATTTCTAGGATAAATTTCTGTATTTATCTTGTAAGAAGTTATCCATTAAGTTCAAAGCCTAGATCGAGTTATCAGATAAAGTCTTATCTGACTAAATATCCTGAGTTCAAGTCTCCTTTTGCGAACGAATCCTCATTTAGAAAAAAAAAACAATAGAAATTATCCAGTTACAAGCGACAGTGAGATGGATGCATCACTTTAACCAGTCTCATTTGTCTTTTGATGTATATAGCAATCACGTGACATAATTACTTATCAAAATCGAATTCAATGTTCAGAATTTGTTCTCTCGTTACTTTTTCTTCATCTCGACACATCAACTTTTCTTTGCAAATAGAAAAATGCCAGCACATTTTTTGAACATCATCTTGATGTCTTCCCATGTGTTTCAAAAACAAAATTAAAAGAGTTTTAGTTGAAACTATATATGTGCATAATTAGCGTATGATAAATATAGTGCAAGCACTAGGCATGGACAAGTAACAGTCGAAGAGTTCGGTGTAATCACCATGTGTATTTCCATATGTAGATTTGGAGTTTACGGCTTGTAATATACATGATATTAGGTCACTTTAATGTATTATCCATTTTTTCATCACTCGTTTCTATCTTAATAATAAACAATATTGTTCATACATTATTATTTATAAAATATTCCCAAACATAATCAAATTTCTAATAATAAAGTCAAATATTTGATGGCCTTCGTGGAATAAAAAAGCTAGGAACTACCTGAATTCAAGAGCTTCCATTTTGATTTTATTGTGTGTGAAATAATATTTTATTATGAAATCAATTAAAATAAGGAAAAACTAGTGTGGGAATGCCACGAACTTTCAAGTAGCAGGGAAACGGCTCCCTAATCTTGAGAAGTGAGATTTTTTAACTCTTTAACTATTTAAAGTTGTGAGATTAGGTCAAATCGACAATGTGAAAATTAAAATCGCGTGCAACTTTCATATCAGCTTGTTTGAGAAAACTCAATTAAGCTCATTTTATTTTGTATGACTCACAACTTACTAACTACTTATTATCAACACATTATTTAGGCTCTTGAAAAAAGCAATTGCAGCAGCTCGTTTACCTATTTGGTTGATTATTCTTTTCCCGACGACTAGCACAATCAATTTTTCAACGACATTTTGCCTTGAATTTAGGCCAGATTGGTCGGGCCTCTGGGAATGGTTATTGATTATCTGGAGTATCAACCCTCTTTTTTTAGGGCGAAGCATGCTCAAAATCAAGCTCCTAAACAAGCACTAAATTTAGGAAAATATTAAGCGATTTGACGATTTTTTCCTCCAACTTTAATTCATGAAAAAGTCAAATGCAATTTTAACATATATATTGACATTTTTGTCTTGCATGGACCATCGTCATGATGTTGAGAGTTAAAACCTCGTTTTTAATGTCAATGAACTATTTCCAAATTGCCTTGGATAGTACACGACTCCTTGATCAAACCCTGTTTGATGGCCATTATAAAGAGAAATTGAGGAAAAATAATGTTTTGAATAGTGATATTTTGAAGAATGTGCGTTTAAAAAATAGAGAAAATTTTTTGAATTTACGTGTAGAATATTTTATTGTGTGGTTAAAAATGAATATGAGAAATAAAGAGTTTTAATTTAAAGAGAATCAAATATAGAGTAAATAATGACATTAATTAAAAGCAAAATACTGATTTTGATTTCTTTTATGTTTGTCGCAATGTTACACCTCAAATTGTAGCATTATGCATTTTCAAATTGTTTATTGTTTGTTACTAGTTCGATTTTTGTACTATTTATTTTTTCAATAATGCTAAATATACATATTGTCTTAGAAAAATTCTATTTGTACAATCGAGGTTGACAACCTCTCACATGTGCGTGGGGTTCATATGTTTAAAAAATTCAAAAAAAAAAAAAGAAGCGGACCCCCCATGTGAGTGATTATCAATCTCGATTGTACAACTAGCATGTCTCATCGTTTTACCACATGGTTGGCATTCCCTCCTACATGAAACAATCCAGGCAATGATGTGAAAGATTGTCGGGGAAGTCAAATGATTAGTTGGTGTCATGAGAAAGAATGTAAAGGAAGGTGTCAACCATAATGTACATGTAATATGGTTGTTAATTTTTAGGAAAAAATTGTTTGTGCAGCATTAGTGTACAGCCTTGTACACAGCTCTCTCACAATTGTGGACCCCACAATTATTTTATAATCATGGCCCCACTATGTGTGAGAGAGCTGTGTAATTTGGTGTACACCAATGTTGTACACCAATCTCTCTAATTTTTTTGACTTATTTTATTGGTTTGTGAATAAGACTGACACTTCAGAATGTATCCAAAATGTATTGTGGTTTAATTATATATTTGTAGATCCACTCATTTATTCCTATTTTTATAAATGCAACTATATGCATGCCCTAATTAGCCTTAGTCCCTGTTCGACAACGATTAAAATAAAGATCTGTTCTCTTTACTATTTTCAGGTCATTTTCGATTTTCAATTTCGAAAACACTGAAAACACTTTTACTTACATACTTTCAAAAATGAATTTCCAAAAACGTGTTTAAAATTTACAAAGAAAACGGAACCAAAAAAGTCGTTTTGTTTATTTTCAGTTAAAACTAAATAAAAACTTCAAAATGTGGAAAACTGACACATTTTGCCAATAGAGGGATAGCTTAGTTGGGATTTTCTAAAAGCCACAAGTTCGATTCCTTTTCACCGAAATTCAATACAAAGAAATTTTCTTTTTATATGCACAATGCAAAAATTTTCAAATAAATTGGTAAGCAGCTGAGATTCGAACTCGGGTCACCAGCATGGAATTTCAATTCCTTAACCATAGGGATGTCAACAGGGCGGGGGAGCGTCCCCGCCCCATTACCCGTTTAGGGTAGGATAGGGTAGGGCGAGGCAGGGCGGGGTAGGGTCCTTGCCCCGTTTACTACCCATTTAAATATTTTTTTTAATTTTTGGTAATTTATTTTTATTGCATTCATTAGATTTAGACAAATAATTTTAGTTGTTATTTTCTATTAGAACTAATGAAAATTTGTGAAAATTTTCATTTAAAGTATTGAATTCTAAAAATAAAAAAAAAATAAATAATTTAAAGGGGCGGGGCTCCCGTTACCCGCCCCCGCCCCGATACCCGATTAAGCGGGTTTTTCGGGGTGGGGCTCGCGGGTATCGGGTTTTTCGTATTTTTTTGTCATCCCTATTTAACCACAATGACAACCGCTTTTGCTTTATTATTTAAGTAAAAGAACTATATATATATATATTGAATAATCAGTTTTTCAAAATTAGAAAGTAAACACATTTTTCATTTTTTTTTTTTCATTTTTGAAAACAATTTTTTTTTAAAATAACAAAGAGAACGCGTTTTCAGTCATCTCAAAATGGACACTCAAAATAAAAAACACAAAATAAATTTAAAATTTAAAACTGAAAACTGAAATACGAAGAGAACAACCCCTAATTTTTTAGAAAACGTGTTGTTAAGAAGTATAAATTTTTTTGTGGATTACGTGCAAAATATTTTACTTGAATATGAGTTTGAGAAATAAAATTAATGATTGCCAAACAAGTGTTTATCTCCGATTCTTCAAAACTATTGTTTTCTATATAGTTATTTTCAATCAAATATTCACACAATAAAATATTTACATGTCAATACAAAATTTTTGTCTATTTTTTAACAACACATCTTCAAAAGTTCGCTATTTAAAACAATATTTTTTTTCAAAAGAATAGCCACCAGGAGTTAATATATAATTAATAATAGGGAAAATTAATTAGTAAGACACTAAGTACGACCTATTTCAAATATGAGAATTAAGGTTTGCATTTCCAAAAATCAGATATTAATTTAAATTTTATTTATTAAATAAATAATTAAATATATTATGGTCATAATATTATATAATTTATGGTAACATTTATATATTATTCACAATTACAAACGCTACAATCACGAACAACATATTCTATAGGTTCAAATTTATTTCTCGATCACAAATTAAATAAATTAATTGGTCACATATTATTTTTTGATTACAAATCACAAATTGTATGAATTGCAACTTATTTCATGATCACAAGTTATTTTTAGGTCACGTATAATAAATTATTGGTCACAACTTAACAAAGTTTTAGATAACACATTATTTATTAATCACAAATCATCTATTTCATTGGTTACACATTTACCAATTTATTGGTCACAATCAACAAAACAATGTGTGACCACCACCACCTTACCACTGCCTCCAGTAGCACCATCGCAACAACGATTATGACAAACAAGACCACCACAACGACTGCCTATATCAACCACTACCGCTGCCTGCACTGCACTAACCACCTCCACCATATCCTCAATTCCATTACATTATCCACATCTACCGTAATGTTGTTAAGAAGTATAAATTTTTTTGTGGATTACGTGCAAAATATTTTACTTGAATATGAGTTTGAGAAATAAAATTAATGATTGCCAAACAAGTGTTTATCTCCCATTCTTCAAAACTATTGTTTTCTGTATAGTTATTTTTCAATCAAATATTCACACAATAAAATATTTACATGTTAATACAAAATTTTTGTC